CCCGTTTAGTGCGCAAGCGGGAGTTTTTCTAGAGGTATGCGTCATGTAGGTAGATGGTTATTTTTACGTAATCGGTTAATTATCGTTGTCGGATAGTTGTAGTGGATTACTTATCGAAGGGTCGATTTCCGAGCTAGGCATTTTTTGTTGATCGACCGTGATGTGTTTCTTCGTTTATATTGTAAGTTGTATTTGAACTAAAGAGTAGTAATTTGTATTTGCGCAATTTGAATTTAACTTGATTTGATCGCACTAGTGTTTGTTATTTGTTAATTTGATTGTGTCTTTTCTTTTGAGCTAACTTGTATTTGTTTGATACGTAGTAATTCGTATTTGTGTAATTTCTATTCAACGCGATTTGATAGGAACTGTATTTATTAACTGTTAATTTTTGTTGTATTTTTTATTTGTTATCTTTGTAATTTGTGCTCGAGCCACGTCGTAATTTGTATTTAGTAGTGATGTCATCGCCCAAGCTACTAATCCGTTGCCTGCGGACTGAGCTACGCTGGGCCACCAGCGCCCATGCTTTGTTAGGTCGACCGGATAGGGTCCATAACTTGATGAAGCGGTTTGAGCAGGTGGATGCTCGAAGGGCCGCAGTGGAGGAGGCTTACGCTGAGCTCGAGGATTCGGATGTGTAGAAGGGAGTCCTGGACTCCTGCTTCGCGGACTATGAGTAGTTCTTGTGGCTCACGGACGAGTTGATCGAGGCTGAAGGCAGGTATGCCGAGGAGGCGCGTGAAGCTCGGATGAGTGACCTGTCCGAGTCCTCTCTGAAGCAGCTTCAGCCGGAGCTGTTGGGACGACTCCCAACTCTGAACCTGCCAAAGTTCTCCGGGGTCCTTTCCGAATGGCTGACCTTCGTTGGTCTTTTCGACAGCCTAGTGGACGCCTGGAGTGACTCGACCCCGAGCCAAAAGATGGCGTACCTCTTGGCCTCACTGGAGGGGGAGGCCCTGGGCGTCGTCGGCCACTTGAGATTATCGGACGACGCCTACCAGACTGCTCGGAACCTCCTAGCCAGAAAATACGCCAACGTCCGGCGAATTGCGGACGAACATGTTAAGCAGCTTCTAAGCCTCCCGCTGCTTAGTGACCGGGGCTAGACTACGTCCGGACCTGTTGGATCCAGTCTTAGTGGCCTGTAATACGTTGAGGCGGCTGGAATTACCAGTGGGCGAATGGGCTTTTTTGTTGCTCCGCATCGTGCTGTCCCGTCTACCTCTCGACCTGCAAATCCAGTTTGAGGAGAGGTACGGCGGGGACGAGGCCTCCTATATTCCGCCCTTCTATGACCTGCTGCGGTTTTTGGAGGAGCAGTGCCGGCAGATCGAGAACGCGGCGGGCACCGTTGACGACTTACGAGACGTGCCCAGTGAGAGGCTGAACCCGCCAGGCAAGTCGTCGTCAACCCCCCCCCCCCCCCCTGCTCCTATTGTCGAGCATCTGATCACCAGGTAACGTCGTGCCCGAAATTATTAGGTAAGCCGGTTTCAGAGAGGCGAACTATCGCCAAGGAGCGCCTCTGGTGCTGCTCATGTTTGGAAGGGCACCTCCAGCGAGACTGTCCGCATCGGCGGCCCTGTCTGCATTGCCAGGGCAATCATCATGCAGTTTTGTGCCTGGGTGCTTACCGCGTCTCCTCTCGAGGCTCTGCCAGGCCCTCGACCCCCACGGGCGGGGGCGCTCAGCCACGCCCTCTGCCGGGCGGCTCTCGGCGCCCGCCGGGCGGCCACCGGGTCCCTAGGTTTGGAAGGGGTCCCTCCCCCGACCAGTCGGGGGGTAATTCCCCCAGGGGCGGGGGTGTCATCACCCCCCCTCAGCGTGTGGAGAGGAGCTTCACGGCCACTCATCGGTCCGCTGGACCCTTCTCACTCCCGTTAGCTGAGTGGCCGCGACTGGTGTACCACTGTACCCCATTTGATGGGGGCGGCCCTGGCTAGCTGCCGCCTTAGCTCCCACCACGGCCGCCTCCACTGAGCCTTAAGCCGTCAACAGTTCACTTGTCAAAATGTGCTGTTGCCGACGTCCTCAGTGAAGGCGTACAACCCGAGTGGCGACTGCTAGCGGTTGCGCTCTATTGTTCTCGGGTTCACGCCGTGTGGCCTCCACTTGGTGGTGGGAAGATTAGGGCCCCCCTGGAGCGTTGAATCACGCTGTCAAGGGGTATTAGATTTGGTTTGGTCGAGCACTTAGTCAAAAAATACTTTAAATTAAAATTAAATAATGCTTTGGGCTTTCCGCGAAATTTTCCTATCTGTAGCGGTTTAAATTAAAAAAATTGAATTTAATGTACTTCTTTAAATTCTACTGCATGTGTTTTGGAAATATATTTAATCACTGTATTTGATTGTTGCGTCTGTTTGCTGAAAGGAAAATTTGAATTCATTTGAAATTGAATGGCGCGCTATTTGAAAAATTATGTATATGTTTATGATAGTGTTTAATCATTTTGCTTTGCGAAGAAGTAGGGCTGTCCCTTACGGTTATTGTTTTGTTTAATTTGCAAGTTGACCTATGCGCATCGGTGATTAATTTGGTTGAATTAATTCTGTAGTTGAACATTGATGCTTTTGAAAAATTAGTTTAAATATGAGCATAGGACTACTCTCCTAACAGGCTAGCTAGTTTTGGAGATTATCAGATTGAAATCAGCTGCCGCACTATTTTAGTAAATGATAATATGGTGGGTGGCCTGGCTAGGCCTACTTGTTGAAAATTCATACTAGGGACTATCTGTGCGTTTCGTTTGGCTCTCCACAGACGACGTTCATGTGGAATTTGTGGGTGCGCTCTGCACTGAAGCAACTGCTGGCACAAATTTTGTCTGGGCAGCTTCGTGTAGCGTCGCTGTTTGCAAAGCTGATCCGGTCGGATTGCGGAACTAATCATAGGGGCACAGATAGGTGTTTGAAAGAGGTCGTCGGACTTCTGTCCAGTACAGGACTTATTAAAGTGCTGCGATACCCAGGAGGGGCATCCAGTGGAGGCTGACCCTCCGGCTTGCCACATTAGGGCTATCTTTGAGGCGTTGGTTAGGGTTGCAAGATCTGATGGGTTGCCTAAGGTGGCCTAGTTTGGTTGTAGATTCGGTCTTGCAACTTGCCGTCGCGACCCTTTCCCGCTGACCGGTTTGCTCGCGGACCTAAATCCTTATGTCCGGGACTGGGGTTTGTTTACGCCCGAACGCTGATTTCGGGATTGACGTTAGAGGGCGCGCGGCTCGGCGATACCGGTTTGAAGTTCGGCCGAGCGTGGCAAGTGGCGCGCGGTTCGTAAGCGCAGCAGTCTCTGCCAGCTGTGCTAATGTCTGCACGCTGTTAATTTTGTGCGGGAACCGCGGAATAGTTAGGGCGTCTAGTAAATATCCTGTCTAGGAATTATAACGCGCATTCCCTGTTTAGATAGCCTTTCCCGGGAATTATTGGGTCAGACTCAGAATCTGTATAAGTGCATTCGACAATATTAGCTAGTGCGGCCTCTGATATTCTAGAACTAACTGTTGCTACGCGAAACGGTCGTGACCTTTGATCCATAAACTCCGTGTGAGTTTTGTGCGTTAAACTTATACCCAGCGATAGTTAGTGGCTTCTGTAAGTTAGTTAATCGTACGATAGAGTTAATTGACTGTCAACGTGACGAAAGAAGAAAGTGACTGTGGACAACCTCGGAAGGCCCCCTCAAGTTGGAGCGGTGTCTACGCTCGGGCTGCTGCCGACGGCCAAGGTCTAGGTTCAATCACCATCAGTCACACCCAGATACACATCACATCACTTATTTCCCTTTCACTACACAACCACTGACCGACTCCGGAGAGACCAGTCGTCTTGGATATAGGTAAGTAAGCTCCGCCTAATTCCTCTGCCGGTCGACTGGCCGTAGTATAGAACGCTCCCCCATATATTTTAGTGTAATTCGAGAGATTCCACGTGGCCACATTGAGGCCCGACCTACGTCTGCTCGGGAAGTATTCTGCTCATGGGCCCCAGAGGATTGGACCCTTTAAGGGAGCAGCAGTAGGCCGTAACAGGGGGAGCGTTCTATACTACTGCCATTCGACAGGGAGAATATTAACGGAGCCCACTTACCTATATCCAAGTCGACTGGTCTCTCAGAATTTGGTCAGGTCGCATGTGGTTGTGTAGTGCAAGGGAAATAAGGTGCTGTGAAGTGTATCTGGGTGTGACTGGTGGTGATTGACCTTATTAGACCTTTACCTTCGGCAGCAGCCCGGACGTCAGCACCGCTCCAAATTGAGGTAATCTTCCGCGGCGCTGTCCACAGTCACTTTCTTCGTTCGTCACAATGACAGTCCATTAACTCTATCGTACTATTAACTAACTTACAGAAGCCACTAACTCTCGTTGTTATAAAGCTTAACACACAAAACGAACAGGGAGTGTCCGGATCAAAGGTCACTACCGTTTCGCATAGCAACAGTTATTTCTAGAATATTAAAGGCCGCATTAGCTAATATTATGTGATAGTTGCAATTAAAGACTTTTCTTTGTTAATTACTTTAATCAATATAACCAAGACAACAAGTTAAAACAGTTATTAATTATAATATTTTTTTCTTCATGTCCATTAAAACATCCTATCGTTACTTTTTCATTTTATAAACATCATGGATCAAAGTCAGAATAAAAAGTAATATATATATATATATATATATATATATATATATATATATATATATATATATATATATATATATTGTATAACCATAGGCAATAGCTGCCAGTATTTTTCTCTGACTAATAACCTACTTGAATCTACAACATCCTCCCCACACAGAAAAATATGATAGTTGAGTCGATATAATATAATTCAAAATACTTAAACATAACATGTAATCGAATTAAGTTAATTTTAAGTGTATTCACACATTCATTACAAATATAGATGAATTCAACCACTTCAATTTTTAATGTTAATTAGAGAGCATTATTTTAAATAAACATTCCTAACTAATTGACTAAATGCATTTCGTCAACTTAATCTAAGAATCTTCTTGGAACATTAATTACTCTACCATGTCTAGTACTAATAGAAGATGTTCGAGGTAAATCAGATGATATTATGTCCGAATTCAAAGTCGCCTGGGAACTATAATCCTTAATGTTAGGGTTAGTCTCTGTCTTATTTCTATTAGTAGATGGACTGGCCCTGTGCCATTCGTTTGTAACTGTTGTTAATTCCAGTGGGTAAAGACTTTGTACAGCTCTAACCAATTCACCGGTAGCGGTTTGTACTTTTGCAACTCTACAATTACCATCAGCACCTATAATTAACTCCTTTATAATACCTAATGGCCAATATAGCCGACTAGTGTCAGTTTCAATAAGAACAATATCGTTTAATTTCGGCAAATTTTGTTTACATCTATCTTTACTACAAATTAAAGCAATATATTCGTTTCTAAAACGTTGTCGAAAATCTGCACGTAATTTGTTTAGATATTGTAAACGAATATTTATGTTTTTTGCATCAATCAGATCTAAATCAGGCATCTCACTATTATCTAAGGGATGTAGAAACATCATTGGAGTAAGTGGTTTAAGAGAGTCATCAGCTGTTGCTACGTATGTCAATGGTCGGCTGTTAATGATTGCTTCGCAGTCACAAATTATTGTTGATAATCCAATCAAAGTTAAGGATTGTTTTCCCAAGATTCTTCTTAACATTTCCTTTACTACCTTTATAAGGCGCTCCCACCATCCTCCCCACCAGGGCGCACGTGGAGGTACAAAACGCCACTTGATAGCTGGTGGAACTATGTTAGTTGCTGCTTCGACTTTTGCCCAATCAACCTCTTTTAATAAATTGGCTGAACCTTGAAAATTCGTACCACAATCAGTATATATAATGTTTATGCGGCCCCTTCGAGCTATGAAACGACGTAAGGCCATCAAGAAACTATTTGTGGATAAAGATTCCACAAGCTCTAGGTGAGAGCGCACCCCCAAATTCCCCATGAAAGTCGTCTGTGGAGAGCCGAACGAACGCACAGATAGTCCCTAGTATGAATTTTCAAACAAGTAGGCATAACCAAGCCATCCACCATATAATCACTTACCAAATGGTGCGAAGGCTGATTTCCATCTGATAATCTACAAACTAGACAGCCTGTTAGACAAGTAGTCCTATGCTCATATTTCAACTAATTTTTCAAAAGCATCAATATCCAACTATAGAATTAATTCAAACAAATTAATCACCGATGCACATAGGTCAACTTGCAAAATTAAACAAAACAATAAACGTAAGGGACAGCCCTATTTCTCATTTAAATAACTTAGACAGTCCCAGCAAATTGTAAACCAAAGGAGAATCGAATCCCACTCCCTTCGGCACAAATAGGGCTATCTAATTTCAGCCTTCCTTTTCACAAAGCAAAATGATTAAACACTATCACAAAACATATACATAATTTTCCAAATAGCGCGACATTCAATTTCAAATGTCCGTGCAACAACGAACACAGTGATTAAAAATATTTACAAAACATATGCAGCAGCATTTAAAGAAGTAGATTAAATTCAATTCTTTTAATCACAACCGCTACAAATATGAAAATTTCGCGGAAAACCCAAACGCAATTTTTAATTTTAATTTAAAGAATTTTTAACTAAGTGCTCGACCAAATCAAATCTAATACCCCATGACGACGTGATTCAACGCTCCAGGGGGCCCTAATCTTCCCTCCACCAAGTGGAGGCCACACGTCGTAAAACCGAGACCAATAGAGCGCAAACCGCTAACAGTCGCCACAAAAAAATCGGGGAATCGAAAGAAGACCTGCTAAATATTATTAAAAAAGTAGGAGCTGCTATCAGTGTACCAATTCAACCCGAGGACGTCCGTGACGTCTATCGCATAAACACTAAGAAAGTAAAGAACCAACCCATAGTAGCGGAATTTTCAAGTGTGCTCTTTAAGAATAAAATAGTTGAATCCGTCAAGGCATTTAACACAAAAAATACGACCTGCAAGTTAAATACATCTAACTTAAACCTTGATGGACCACCCAAACTCATTTTCGTCTCTGAGAGTTTGACAATTAAGGCAAAGAGACTCTTCTTTTTAGCCAGGGAATTTGCTAAGAATAATGCCTTTAAATACTGCTGGACATCAAGAGGTAAAATATATCTTCGTAAGGAGGATGGAGCACTATTTGTAAGGGTTAATAGCGAAACCGACCTTGAAAACATTAATAAAAAATGACTAGATTTACTCATTTATACTATAGGTTATCATAAAATATGCATGTTTGATTTTTTTCAAAATTATATAAATGTTTTTTGTTTAATTAGAACTTTTTTAACACTAATTTATAAACGTATTTCGCAGATACCTTTTCATATACTATCACTGGCACCTGAATACATAACTTTAATATACATAAATTTACATTTGCTTACATTTCAAAATTTTTTACACAAAATTCACACTTACACACTACTTTTACACTTAAGATTAACAAGTATTAAATACTTCAGTAATATGCATCAATTCTTGGCCTCTCAACCTAGATATCTTATATTACTTTATTTTGCAATACTTATTTATCAGAAATATGTTAATTGTTATTGCGCACTACAACCGATCGGTATTTTATTCGAAACGGATGATAACTCTTTTATCACCGTCGGAGTGTACATATACATTAGGGTAAAGTATTATTCACTAAGTGACTTAAACATCCTTAAATTTTTAAATTCGTATATTATTAGTAAACACACACTCGTAATTATTATTTTGATTATACTATACATTAATTATAGCTTTAAAATTAACATTATCACTCCAATTGTTTATTTTATACTATTAGTGAAAGAATTTGAGTTTAAATTGCACTATGGAACGTATTTAAGTAAATCCCAAATACTTAGTTATGGGCACTTACTTATAGTGGTTGCTTTACATATTTATTGCACACAATTTAAATGTTTGGTCTTAATTACTAATATAATTAAAAGGCGATAGCACAAAAGACTTAAACGATGATCTTGACCAATTTTCAATATCAAACGCCTCACTACTTTATGATCTGGATAATTTGTCTAGGTTAATATCTAATCAAAATTGTAACTTAAAACTAATGCATCAAAACATTAGAAGCATAACTCGCAATATGGATGAACTTAAAGTTCTAATACATAGGACAGCTTTAGAATGGGACTTAATTCTTCTTACAGAATGTTGGTTGCCGTCCACCCACTATATTCCGATAATGGATGGCTATAACTACTGTAAAACTCTTAATAATGCAACCCAAAATGAGGGTATAGTAGTGTATTTCAAAAAATCTTTGAATATAACCTGGCAGGAGTTGTCAATATCAGATTGTAATTCTATTTTTCTAAAAATATGTAAGGACACTATAGTCATTGTAATTTATAGACCACCTGGATTTAAGGATCCCACAAATTTTATTGAATCGCTTAGTAATATGCTCGATCAATATTCACATTATAAAAACATAATTATTATTGGCGATATTAATATAGATATTGTCATACATAGTAAAGACTCGTACGCTTCATATTACTTAAATAGTCTAGCATCTAAAGGTATGTTACCTGCCCACACCTTCCCTACCCATGGCAAAACGTGTCTAGATCACGTTGTATTAAAAACAAAACTACAATCAACCTGCTACGTTGCGGAGACTTCCATTACTGATCATGACACTCTTATATTTCTATTTGAGGCTAATTTCAGTACACGTAGTTTGCCACCAAAAATTAGAGAACGTATAAATTATGATAAATTAGATAGTTACCTTAGCACTTTAGACTTTAAAAGTATTTATTCTATGGTGGACGTTGACTTAGCAGCTACATTCCTGATAGAATCCTTAAGTAATGCTTTAAAAATTAATACAAAAACAAGTAAAGTTTCTAATCGCAAAATTATTAAAAAGCCCTGGATTACCCCAGGTATTTTGAGATGCTTAAGAAATCGTGACAAATTACACCAAAAATGTAAAAAATATCCGGATGATGACGTAATCATAACTACATACAAACGTTACCGTAATTACTGTAATGAACTACTTAAAAAATTGAAAAAGGAATATGAAAAATCAGAATTAACAGCAGCAGTTAAAATAAGTAATAAAAAACTTTGGGACACAATTAAAATAGTCACAAATATGAATAAACAAAATAATAAAGCCGATAAATTAATAAACAAATCTGACCCCATAACTTCAGTTAATTATGTTAATTCATTTTTTATAAATATGGGTAAATCTTTGGCAGAAAAACACCACATTAATAACAACACGTCTAGCATTTTTCCTATAAACACATATCACCATTCCATAGTACTTCTTGACACGGACGAACATGAAATAGAGACAATTATTTTAAATATGAATACTAATTGTAGCGTAGGTAGAGATAATATTTCTACTTTCTTTCTAAAAAGGTACAGAAATTTACTAGTCCCTCCCATTACATATATATGTAACCTTTCCCTTAAAACTGGTAAATTCCCCAACTGTTTTAAACTAGCTGAAATTCACCCTATTTACAAGAGCGGTGATGCGGGCTGTGTCAATAACTACAGACCCATTTCCATTCTTCCCACTGTATCAAAAATATTAGAAAAAGTAATCAACAAGCGCTTGACTAATTACTTAGAGAAACATAATCTGTTATCACATTGCCAATATGGATTTCGACCAAAACGTTCTACACAGGATGCAGTTCATGAACTAACTGATTTCATTGTTACAAACCTTGACAGTAAAAAGAAAGTAGTTGCTATATTCCTTGATCTAGCTAAAGCATTTGACACCGTCTCCGTTCCGCTTTTGTTGAATAGGCTAGAAGATCTTGGAATAAGAAATACACAGCTGAAACTGTTCTCTGACTATTTAACGGGTCGATATCAGAGGGTACGGATTGGTGGTTGCTGCAGTGATGATCTTCCCGTATCATATGGTGTACCACAGGGTAGTGTACTTGGTCCAACGCTATTTCTTACATATATTAATTCCCTATGTAATGTAAAAATTCACAATGGGTGGATCATTGCTTTTGCGGATGACATGGCTCTTCTTTTCCAGGCTGATACATGTTCTGAGGTATTTAACCTCGCACAAAATGGGTTTGATTTAGTAAATAAGTGGCTAAAAGAATATAAACTTACATTAAATGTCGATAAAACAAAATACATAGCATTTACTACAAAAAACATCAATGTACCTGAATTAGAATACCTCCACATTACAGCTCACTGTTGCTCCCAAATTGATAGCTCTTGCTCCTGTCCTACACTCTCTAGAACGGATTGCATAAAATATCTCGGCGTAATGATAGAAAACACCCTTAGCTTTCACTTTCATATTGGCCTCTTAAGTACAAGGATACGTAAGTTAATTTATATTTTTAAAAATCTACGTCGTGTTGCAGATCTTAATGTAATAAAAATGGTATATTTTGCACTATGTCAATCATTGTTGACATATTGTATTACCATTTGGGGAGGCGCACCTAAAACAACCATGTTGCAATTAGAAAGGGCTCAGAGGGCGGTATTAAAAGTTAGCAATTCTCTACCATTCCTTTTCCCTACAACTGACCTTTATCAACAGTGTAGTGTCTTATCTGTTCGCAAATTGTTTATATTACACACTGCGCTACTACAACATTCTATGATACAGTATGAGTCCTCCAATAATGACAAAAGAAGGAAATATGTAGTTTGTCCTAGTAAATGTCTAAAGACCCAATTTTCACATAGATTTTTCTGTTTCCTGGGAGGTTACGTTTATAATAAATTGAATAAACGTTTATTAATTTACTCTCTAACAAAACATGCATGTAAACAAACATTACAGAAATGGTTGCTAAATATCGATTATAAGGCTGCTGAAAATTTACTGACAGTATTATCC